TCACAATATATCGGGATATATCGTATCGTGACCCCTCTGTCATGATATGTATCGTATCGCCAAATTCTTGCCAATACACAGCCCTAGTAAACATACGGCAAGCCAGGAGTGACACAAAACAGAAACGCGCCTCAGCTTCATCACACACAACGCCATGAGGAAAAATCAATATCGTCCTACAAATCGATATTCCCAAATTTAAATGAAATTGATTCGAGATCGATTAAACGCAGTGTTTCCTTGAAGTGTTTTTATTGATGCAGCTCTAGTAATGTAGTGGAGCAATACTTCACAAGTGCTGTATCGTTCCTGCTCCCTGTCTGAAAATAGCGGGACTTTTAGCGGTGAGGGGCATAGGGCTGTGTATTGGCAAGAATTTGGCGATACGATACATATCATAACAGAAGGGGTCACGATACGATATATCCCGATATATTTCAATACTGTAAACAAGGCGACATATTGCGATTGTTTTTGGTCCAAAAATTCTATTAAATAAAAACCTCTTACTGGGAAAAAACGAAAAACAAAACGAAAAAACAAAATTCACTGTCTCAGAAAATTCTAATATTACATAGACCTACTTTTGATACATTTAGCTGTGTTCTGCTTTGTATGTGTTTTATTTTATTTGTTTCATATTTCATCCATGTTTTCAATTATTAGACTAAATTTGCCAATAAATAGTTTGAAAATATATATATTTTTGTAGCTTTTAGTTTTTAATATTAATTTACAATATGGTCACCCAACACTTAACAATAGTCTTTATGTTGTCATAAAGTTCAGTAAACAGATGATTTGAAGCTGCTGCACACAGAGTTTCTGGGATCAGCTGACCTGCATCCAGAACGTGATTTGTATAACTGTGGGTCGAACAGCAGGGCAGGTCCCGAAAATAAACAGTAACGAAATGGAGAAGCTAAATGAGTTTAACCGTTTTTGAAGCAAACACAGCAGGATAAAGTGTATGGACTTTGATGCGATGAGCCGGACATTGAGAGCAACAGACAGTTTTATGTCACGGGGGGAGTGCCGAGCTCGAGGTGATAGACGCATGAGCTATATGCGTAACGTGAAAGCTGACTACATTTGGAAAAAAGAGCGCACAAAACACTTAATTTGTCTTAAAATACAGACATTCTGACAAATAAGTAACTGTTTGTAACCTTACCTCAGCTTAGAAGGCAGAGGGTGTCGGACTTTTCCGCTCAGATTCAGCTATTGGAGCATGAAGCTAATGTTTACTCACAATGCTAATGCTACACTTACTCTCTGGCGCTCAAAAGGCAGAGGAGCCAAGTGGCTGGCTCACTGCTGCCAACTAGTGGTCAGAGGCTGAACTACAACATAAAAATGAACGGCTGGTAGGAAAGTTGGCATTTTAAACCTTAATAAAAAATCGACACAGGCCTTTAGAATATCGATACAGTATCGAGAAATGAAATATCGCGATATTCCAGTGTATCGATATTTTCTTACACCCCTTAGAGGGGCATCAGATTTTGTAAGCAGGGTACCCGACTTTTGATAGTGGTAGGGGAAACACTTTGTTAATATTCTGAGTGTTTCATTAAAATTTTAGTGGTTACAGGTTTTTCATGGCAGTAGGCTGTAAAACTGACATTTGTAAAGAACTTGCACCTAAACCAAACACCAGGCATTACACCTATTCACACTGTAGTTTAGAAACACAAGCAACCAAGGTAGCCTCCTCCCCTTGCAGCTCTGCAGGAATGTGCTGATTCCAGGATGTAAGGCTCATTTGCTTTTCTGGTTTTTTATATATATGTAGTCGTGGCAGCATTCCTCATCAACTGTCTCTAAAATGTTCAGAACATAAGGGGAAAATAATGTGTTTGCAAAACAAGTCAACAAATAATTTTTGCAAGTGTTACAAATCCATCTGTGGTGGGATCGTGCTTCTGCGCCAATGGAAGTCAGGTCAATGGCTCACTGGGGGGTGTGTGTTTGTGTTTGCGTGTGTGTGGGTGTGCGTTAGTAGGATATTGGCCAAGTATGAGCGGGAAACGCTGTCACTCTTGCATAAACAAGCCCGATAGGTGAGACAAGGCATTTGGTGGGCAGTTTTTTTTTTTTGGAGGTGGTGGTGGAGGAGTGCTTGAAAAAGAGGGAAGAGATAAAGTTAAGAGCTTTGCAGTGGTGGAAAGTAGTGTTGCACGTCTGCATATCTGAGCATATCGTATTTGGTTTGTGTGTGTGTGTATGTGTGTGTGTGTGTGCGTACATGTGTGTTTGTAGGCGCTTTGCACTTGAGTGCCAATAAAAAGTTGTACATGTGGAGCTGGTATGTAGGCCAGCTCCACATGTACTCGTGTGGGGACTTTGCCCTTGTTTTCCCGTAAACACTGTTTTTCTCCTCTTCAGCAGAGGAGGGGATAAGGGGGCAGATAGGAGCCTACCCTTCTTCCTCTGCCTCCTCCTCTTCTTCTTCTCCCCTTTTCCAGATCTTTCTCACTTGGATTAGTTCTGTAGCCCTCCTCGACCCTTCCAAACCCCCTCCCCCCTTTTTTTTATTCCATTTGTTGTATAATAAACTCTGTTTCTTTTTTGTTCTGGTTGGGGCTTTTGGGGTGTCAGATGGTGTGTGTGTGTGTGTGTGTGTTCGATAATGTGTGTGTTGTTGTTGTTCGGAACCAGAGATTGCTTCCCCTCTCTACAGGGAGTGTGTGCTTGCTCCTTCCTTGGAATGCAGGCCTGTAGAAGTGTCTGAACTGTTGGAATGCGTGCGTGTGTGTGTGTGTGTGTGTGTGTGTGTGTGTGTGTGTCTGCATGTGTGTGTATCAGTGTGTGTTTTTCCAGTTCATTGTAAGATAGGTGTTTAAACCTTGTTAATGAAAAAAATGCAACCAACCTGATGAGGAAATTGCAGTTGTTGTTTTCACCACTAAGATCCTTTGTTAGCACAAAGTCAAGTTATTAATTGCATTTTGCAAGTAATTATTTTATTTAATACAGGCCTAGCATTTATTGAATGAATGCGTGTCATCTTTCCTGCCATAGTTTCAAACTAAGATCATCTTATAATGAGAAAGTTGGAGCAGAGTTGGTCAAATGTTTTGCCTAGTTTCGTGCAGGATTTTGCAAGATGCATTAGTGCTCAGATTGTGTTGAGATTGACTCTCAGCTACCCACCATGCCAAATTTTAAGCCATTAACTGTAAAATTGACCGACTTATAGCTGTTTTAAGGTTGATCAGCTGGGCAGCCATCTTGAATGGGTTAGTTTTCAAATGTTAGTCAGTTGTATATGGACATCCAATGATTACTTTCTGAGAGTTTTTTTAAAATTCATCCAGCGATTCATGAAATATTTTGTTAACAGACAGAGTTGACACAAATAGTTAATGGCAACATTTTCTAAACAGCTGTTGTGTGATCAGTAAGCGCTTAGAATATGTGTTGAGTATGACTCTTGGCTACTACCACACCATATTTGAGCACAATTTCTGCTAAACTGCCCGAATTTTCGCCATTTCTGTGTTTGCTAAGGTTGATTATCTGGGGTAGCTGTTTTAAACTGAGTTGTTTCCAAAATTTGATCAGATGCAGGTATAGATCCAATAATTACTTTCTTGGAGTTTCATTAAAGTCAGTTGAGTAGTTCAGAAAATATTTTGCTAACAGACAAACCAACTCAGACAAAAACATTATCACCCTTTGAGCCTTTCATTTTAACAACAAAACGTGTCTCATATAAACACTACAATGGGAAGCTTCTACTCAGAATGTGATTTTAGAAACTTTTTGTGGAGACAAAACACTCATTGTGCATTTCTGTCACGCAGGTCCTTGAGGATACCACAGGGGTCCGTCGAGTGGTGGTGACCCCCCAGTCTCCAGAGTGCTACCCCCCCTCCTACTCTCCAGCTCTGTCCCCTACACACCACCTGCCCCCGTACCTAGCTCACCCTCACTTCATTCACAACTCTCACTCTTTCTATCCCCCTGTCAGTCCGGGGGAGATGCCCCCTCACCAGTACTACCAGCACCATCTGCCCCCCATGTACGGCGATCCAGGTACTGATGCCAACTACACTCACCCCACTAAAGCACCCGCTTCTGATGTTATCATCCATTAAATGGACGTTATTAGCCATTATCAGTCCCATAGAATGGCTTCAGACTGTCAGCCGGTTAATATGAGGCATAAAACCACTAAGGTTAGTTTTATAGAAAATCACATGGGCTACGATAAAGTAGACCAGACTCCGGCGATAGCAGATTGTTGCATTCCAACGTATATGGCACTGGTAACCCACTAGGGGGCACTGTCGGGACAGTCTGAAGCCATTCTATGGGACTGATAACTGCTAATAACATCCATTTAATGGACTGATAACATCTGAACCGGCTGACTAAAGCATAAATGAATCATCTAACCCCCTGCTAATCAACCCGGGGAAATTTACAGGTTTTAAGTGTAAAGTGAATGCCTCTCTGTTGTCCTCTCCTTTCAGAAATCATCCCTGTTTATGGGATGTCAAACTATATAGGCAGAGAGGAGACGTACAGTAAGCCACAGCCCAAAAAGATAAAGGAACAGAGACAACTAGAGCGACAGAACCGACTGAACTCTCCTCCCTCCACACTCTATAAGGGCAGTCTGGGGCCAGCACATAACGGATACAGGTGAGCAGACGTCTCTGCTTTCATGAGAAAGAGCGTCACCATTAGTTTTCTCATTAAGCCATGAAGTTCTTCTGTTGTTTTCCTCATGGGTTTGTCATTACGTGTTGGAAAACTCTGTTGCTCTCTAGGCTCTGTGACACATTTAGGTTCTGTCTAAATGAGAACAAATAAATCATTACTGTATTTTGACTCAGAAAAAAAAAAACAAGTAGAAATTCTTCTTATCCAAATGTGTTGTTGAATCGTTTTCTGGAGTTTCAGACTGAGATCAACTAATGAGAAATGATAGAGTTGTATCCGTTTAACCAAACCTTGAAAATAACACACATGCATACGTGTTGTGCTCAGAGTGTGTAATGTGAACGACTCTCAGCTACAACCACGTCAGATTTTTGCTCAATATCTGTGAAATGGACTGACTTACACCCATTTTTGTTTGTCAATGTCCATTAGCTGTGGCGGCCATTTTTAATGGCATTTATTGTAGGGCTGCTACGATTAATCGATTAATCGACAACTAATCGATTATTAAAAATAATGGACGACTAATTTAATAATCGATTAATCGTTTTCTTTTTTTTTTTTTGTTCTTTACTTTGTTTTTCTCTCCAAACTGCTTTGACACCTTCCACTGCCACATCTGCCTTTCTGTCCTTGACACACATGCACAGTCGTGGTAACTGGGGTAGGCTGTGGACGTCACAAGTAGGGCTGCACCGATTAGTTGAAATAATCGATGACGTCGATTATGTAAATTTGTCGACGCAGATTTTTTATTATTGATTCGCTGTATTACATAACCACCACGTGAATGTTCATGCAATTCCATTTCAGTACCTAAATGCATCATTGCGACCGTATTGGCATAAGAGTGGTGAGTTTTCCATGCTTGTCTTGAATGCAGCATCACAAGAGCGTAATGACGTCAGCAGCTGCTGCTTCAGTTCAGTCTGAAGCTTGAAAACAAGCCTCGCAGCTCCTGGAGTAAAATTTACTGAACAGACCGCCTCTGAATTATCTGGTGGATTAATTATCTTGTGAACACGACGTTCGCTTGCTCAAAGTAAATAAAGTACCACCACTTTCTTTATTTCATCCACCATTAAACAGAGAGCGGTGTTAGGTCGAGCCACGTTCCCCCATCAGACGGTTCCCCCATCAGACGGTTCCCCCAGCGTCTCAAACAACAGAGGAGCTTCCCGACACACGTCTGACCTAAAGAGCACAAGCAGCCAACAAGTGTTGGACGTGTTCTGGATGTTCAAAACGTAGCTTAAATACCTTTTATTAATTTTAACTGCATCCTCTTTTGTTTATTTGATTTAAACTTATTTGCCTTCCATGGACCTCCATCACACAATTTTTCTAGTGGGGAAATGACATCAATAGAAAGACGTGGAGCTGGATTTTAATTTGTGCAATAAGACAAAACAGTCTTGTTGTTTTCAACAGTTTTCACCTTAAAGAAATAAGTTACACAACTAGTGTTACAATACAAAGAGTTGGATGTTGTCTTGATATTTGTTAATTTTTATATATTGAGAAATATGTTAAATAAAAATAATAAATAAATGTTTATTATAGTTTTTCCAGAGTGACTTGAATTTTGCATGATTTAGTTCATTTGATTGTTAACATCTTGCACTATATTTCTTTTACTTGAATTTTATATGGTTGAGATTTTATATTGATGTTAAATTCTTTAAGCTTTTTTTGTTAAAGAATTGACTCTAGAGTGCATATTTTGTGTTCATGAAAAAACTATTACAGAAAATATTACAATATTAAAGAACTGTTCTTGTTMATTTGATGAAAACATTTTAAATATCCAGTAGACTCACATCAGAATAACTTATAGATTTGTTGTTAGAATAATCGATTAATCGAAGAAATAATCGTTAGATTAATCGATTAGAAAATAATCGTTTGGTACAGCACTAATTTATTGGTTGTTTGTGTCAATAAAAACCATCTAGGTGTTCCTGAGATGTTTTTCTAACAAAGTAAAAGTTTTAAACAAAGTTCTTGAGCAGTTTGGTGTCAGTCTCAACTACTACCAAACTAAATTTTCAGTCAGTATCAGTAAAATTGGTGATGGGTGATTAAAGTTACTTTTTGTTATACAATATATATACTGTATATCTAAGAGTTTTGAAAACTCCAAATATTTAAACCTGTTTATGGTTTAGAAAGGCATTATAGTTATTATTATTATTTTTATTATTATTACTGTATTTTCCAAATTATAAGTCACTCTGGAGTATAACTCGCATCAGTCAAAAAAGAGTTCTGAAGAGGACAAAAACATAAAGAAGTCACTCCTGACTATAAGTCGAAGTACCAGCCAAACAATGAAAAAAGGTGCAAACTAAATCTGGCGTTATTATTCCAGTAGAGCATTTTCGGTCAAAGCAGTAAAGTAAATCTTATTGTGTTTTTTTTTTTTTTTTGGTTTTGATGCAGCAACAAATCACATACCCCGTCGCTTGGGTCAGTGGGGTCAGGGGGCGGAGCCAGCAGTCCAGGAGGCAAGAAGCCCGAAAGACGACTCCGCTGCAGTCCCCGAAACAGTGAGCCGGAGACACACACACAAGGTAGGCACAAAGAAGTGATGGATCAGCAGCACATGTCCTCATGTGAGCAACAAAGCCTTTTAACTTTGAGAGTTTAGAATCAGTTATCTTCCTTTTTCCACCGGAAAAAAAAAAAAGAAGGATTAAATCTTAAAACAGCCTCGATGGGATGAACAGATGCGAGGTGGGACGGGGATTTAGGTGAGAAGGTGGTGAAGAGGGCGGGAGGGGTTGTCTGGGTAACCACATAGCTGAAGTCGTCCCTGAGCGCTATCGTTTTACCTTCACTACAATATGGGTCTTGTTGCTGAGGGCTGAGCCGCGGTGGGGGGGCCACATACCTGTAGAGTCCCGCCTGGGATGAAGGAAGCCTTTGAGCTCTATGATTTAGACACCACAGCTCAGCCTTATCTCACACACACACACACACACACACACACACACACACACACACACACACACACACACACACACACACACACACACA